AAAAAAAAAAAAGAATACTCCTGATCATAACAAATGGTAAGATGTGACTTCTGAAACCAAATATAAAAGCATACAGCAAAATCTGTTACTTTGGACTTTTATATACGCTTCCACCTTACCAGAAGAAATAGCCTTGAAACACTGATCTGCAGGAATTGAGTCAACTTAATGAAGTCCAAAAAAGCCATTAATGGCTCCATTTAGATTCACATGACAGTAAGTAATGTTGACAGCTCAATGAAAGACAGACCACAGATACTGGTCTACCAAAGACGACACACAGGAGACAGAACCTGGATGTGACACTGTCACAACTTTCCCTGCAGTGCTGCTCACAATGTCAACATTTGTCAGATTTTTAAAGGAAAAAGAGAACTACAGTAAAATTCCTGAAATGGGTGTGGACCTTGAATCTGGCATATGAAATTTCTCAAGAGAAAGACAAATTCATCTCCTCACCATAGCAGCTTCTACTTAAGAGAACCAAATAATTTCCTAGTGTTAAAAAGAGAATCACCTTTAAAAATTAATAAAACAGATACGTAAAAGTGAATTTCAGGCACTTTACTTAGCTCTTCCCATCTGTGAAGGAAGTTTTGGATTACCAATCCACACCCCTGGGCACTTTATTGAAGAATCACCCTCATTTCTCTGTTGCTCACAAGCACTACTGGTCTATCACAATGATAAGCAGCGTTGCATAGTATCAGCTCTTCCTCATGGCAGTAATATGAAATACAAATCTTCTGGATCACTTACAGTATCTCAAGAATGGACGAACAAACGCCACATGTACTGTCTATTAAACTGGAACTAACCAATGGGCACAGGCGTGCACAGAAGGAAGAAAAACTCTTTGGAAATCAAGCAGGGAGGAGGGTGGGGGGCGGCAAACCCTACTTAACAGCTACAGTGAACACTATTTGGGCAATGGGCACACTTATAGCCGTGACTCAAGCATTACAAAAGCAATACGCATAACAGAAACATTTGTATCCCCTTAATAATTTTGAAATAAAAAACTTTCCCTAATAGATTGCTAGGCTCTGTACTGCCCTTCAAAGAACAAGAGAACCTCTCTCCACTCTATGATTAGTTAACAGTCTCATTATTCACATATCCAAAAGAAATATCCTCAAGCACCATGGCTATGTATTGTCTTTCTTTTTAAAGGTAAATTTTTAAATATAATCCACCAAAAATAAACTATGGTGCAGATTAGATTAACTGCATTATTTGGCTATTCTACTTATCCAAGAATGAAGATATCCACCTTGTCTTCCAAGGCCAGAAAAGAGTCTTATGTGAATACAATTTCCATGGCAACTCAGTCCCTGCATTCAGTGTCAAGGAATGGCATTGACATCCTTTTTGTTAAAAGGAAGCAAGCCGGTTTTGAACTTCAAGTGTTAAGCTACACTGTCAAGCTACACTTTCACCATCCTTTTGTATTCAGAGGCACCGGACTTGGTGATGAAAGTAGCTTTTGCTGATCTCTCCTATAGTATAGTTACCTAAAAGGAAAATGGCACGGCACAGTAGAATTGCACCACTTTTTTTTTTTTTTAGACAGAGCTTCAAGCTGTCCCCCTGGGTAGAGTGCTGTGGCATCGCAGCTCACAGCAACCTCCAACTCCTGGGCTCAAATGAGTCTCCTGCCTCATCCTTCCAAGTAGCTGGGACCACAGGCGCTCGCCACAATGCCCAGCTAATTTCTTTTCTTTTTTTTTTTTTTTTGGTTGCAGCTCTCATTGTTGTTTGGCGGGCCCGGGCTGGATAGGTGTACGTGACTGGTGCCTTAGCCACTTGAACCACAGGCGCCCAGCCAGAATTGCACCACTTTAAAAGTCAGAAGAGTCAGATTTCATGAGGTAGGCAAAAATAAAACAAGCATCTTTAAAGATATTGACTTACTGATCTAATTCTAGATTTTTTGAAAACTAGCTGGACTGGGAATAACTTTCCCCTCCCATTTCTTCCCATAACGGCATATAAAGTATTCCTGATAAACAAGACCTTTGATAGACTTTGTTTCTAATTCCTTTCTGAAAAGCAAGAAGGTAATTCCGTCCATCTCCGGAGAAAACTTCCACAGCAATAGGCTGAAATAATCAGAGAGAAAAACATTAAGAAAAAACTAAGTTCACAAATAAGTTTTTTTCTATTAACTTTTCCACTATAAATTTTTACAATGTTGAAGAAATTAATTTGTTGATTAAAATTATTTTCAGAATCATGAATTCCCTGTAGATTATGCTATAAAATAACCAGATTTTTCTTATTTTGCTCAATTTGTTTATAAAATTTTTAATTGAGCAATGATAAAATAATATATAAAATTACAACGTTGTAAAATCATAGTAAGGATGTAATTCTTATATTAAAAGATAATGTTGATTTGGATACCTACAGGGGAAAGATGGAAAACAAGAATATCACCCAAATTTTAGGCTGTGTTTAAAAAGAGAGAGAGAGAGAGACGCATTACACCGAGTTATATATAAGCCCCTGAGTCCTAGGACTGTCTATCTCATTCAACCAAAACTAAGGAATACTCTCACGCAGGTGGATCTTACAGAGGGTTTTAACAGCACATATCGGTTTTAAAATAATACATCTTCTTAACAAAGAACATAACAAAACATTTAGCACCGCTAATCAACGCACCTGCAGGAGGTATCTCCTTTTATGCACTTCTTTGATGTCTTCATATGCGAAAATGCTGCATGTTCTCTTGAGCTGACTAGGGCCTTGCCTGGCTCCTCTGGGGATTATTGGCTCATGCATACTGTAGGCAGCCAAGAGAAAAAGGAAATAACCAAAACAGAGCAAGAGTAAACTGAAGGCTCCACAAAGGGCATGCTATTTTCAACATATGAATAGGATGGGTGAATAATCTATCAGAATTTTTAGTTAAAAAAATATATTAAAAAGAATTTGTCAGCTACCTGATATACACAAAACCTCCTTCGAGATAAATCTGTATCTTTGTATACACAGTATACACACACACACACACACACACACACACACACGTGAGACGGAATCTCACTCTGTTGCCTGGGCTAGAGTGCAGTGGTGTCATCAGAGCTCACAGCACTCACACTCCTGAACTCAAACGATCATCTTGCCTCAGCTTCTCCCAAGTAGCTGGGACAAGAGAGCATCCACCACCATGCCGGTTAATTTTTCTATTTTTTGTAGTAATGTTGCTCAGGCTTGATGAACACAATTTTTAAAATCCTCTTATTACTGTCAGGACGAACTTACCTACCAGGCTTTAGTTAGCACAGGGCCTAAGGTTACATACCTTAGAGGCCAAGAAAATGCTTTAATTTCTTTTAAAATCGGGAGAAAAAAAATTGAACTTTTGGGAATGTTTTATCCTATGAGTATATTTATCTTTAGGCTAACAGTCACGAAACATAATTTTTCATGGTATTTTGTATGGAAGAAGGATCTATGAAAGTCATAATGTTATCCTGATTGTGGCTGAAGATAATTATTTGAAATATCTGCTAGGGATCAACTATGAACACCATGTTTACATTCAATAGTGGTTATTTAAAATGTGAAAAGAAGATAAAAAGTCTGTTTATTTTCTAAGGCTCAGCCTTCTTATCTTTCTTCTAGCTTTGTCTGTCCTCTGAGTCTTCCAGTGCTCACTGTCAGCTGTGCCACTGGACTAGCAGAAGAAAAGGATGATGCATAAACCCCGTTAACTCTGCTGGTGCTTCTAGGGTACTGAGAGTACCCGATGACTCTCTTTCATTCATGAGTACTGGGCAGTGACCTGCATTTTGTTTACAACTGCCCATCTGTCAATATATTTTAAACATAGAACCATTTATTAAATTCAGCATATGTTCTTACATAGATCAAAAAACAAGTAACTTGGTGTCTGATACTATTAATGGACAGAAATAAATTTTATTTAGTTTTCACCTTGATAAACAGTCAAATTCTTTTCTTTATTGCCTTGAAATAAGTATTACCCTTGTGAATATGTAAATATATACAAACCCAGGAGTAACATTACCTATAACGCAATTTTTCTTATTAAAAAAGAAACTATGGATACTATGCAGCCATAAAAAAAGATGGAGACTTTACGTCCTTCATGTTTACATAGATGGAGCTAGAAAATGTTCTTCTTAGCAAAGTATCTTAAGAATGGAAGAAAAAGTATCCAATGTACACAGCCCTATTATGAAACTAATTTATAGCTTTCATATGAAAGCTATAACCTAAGAATATGGGGAGGGGGAAGGGGAGAGAAGGGGAGGGGAGGGGAGTGGATGGGTGGAGGGAGGGTGATTGGAGGGATCACTTCTATGGTTTATCTTACAAGGGTACAAGTGAATCTTTCTAAAAGTAGAATATAAACATCTTATAGTTAACACAATAACTAAGAAAATGACACGAAGGTTATGTTAACCAGTTGGATGAAAGTATTTCAAATTGTATATGAAAACACCACACTGTACCCCATGACTGCATTAATGTACACAGCTATCATTTAATAAAAAAATAAAAAATATTTATTAAAAAAAAGAACAAAAAGAACTATGCAACTACATTTCTTTCTTTTAAAGCTAGCTGTTCTTTGTGTCTCTTCATTCATTTACTTACTTTGGAGGTAAGGTTTCAATATCTCTTATTTCCCTGGTTGCTGTCATGGTAAATCCATCAATCACATAAAAATGTTCTTTACCAAAAAGCAGCAGCCCTTCACTGGTGTCCAGGCCCTGGACTCGAGCACAGCGGTACATGTGCTGGATCTAGAAAGAAGCCCAGACACTCATTAACACAGCTTTTTAAAGAGTTAATTTCTTTTTTGTTACTATTACAGCAATCTTTAAGCTAAGCACATCAAACCCGAGTTTAAGCATGTCAGGGAGAGTCAGCTTAGGCCGCAGTCTGATTGTTTCTGATTTTAGTAAAAGGAAACAACCATTCACTCACTTCCATCCACTCCTCTACCCACCCATCTCTCTCACTATTCAGTGTGTCTGTCTTTACTATATGCCAGGCACATGCATGCTAGCTTCTACAAGTGATGAACAATTTAGATAAAGTTCTTACTTCCCAGGATCTTATCCTGGGAGACAGACAGCAAGCCTGGCAGGGAAGGAAATTGAGGCACACGTGTAAGGAGTTAGAATAGGATGAGTCCCCATGTGATGCAAGATGATACAGAATGAAAAGTACACGGCCTGCTAACTGCAGGTCGACTCTCAGTTCTGTCACTTTGTAGACTGGTTCAAATTTCTTACTTCCTCTGAGTCTTCTCTTGCAAATTTCCAATATACCTCATTGGCTTGTGAGAGTTAAGTGAGACAGATAACATACATAATTAGGATAGGAACTACTGGTTGTTTTCTCATCCATATAGTTCACTCTCCTCGTTTCCATTACAGCTCCTGGAAAAGGAACTGCCGAATTTGTCCTTATTCACTCCCCACCTGGATCCTGCCTCCTTGGCACACTGTTGGGCTATTGTTAAAAAGTCAAGCTTGGCAGAAGTTGTACTTTCTGCATAGGTGAAAGGGGTGCTAAATCTCTCAATGTAAGTATTGTTTTCTTTCCAAAGGGCAGTATCTAATTCTCAGTAAAAATTCTTTCTTGCTTAAACTCGGTTCAACATGAGTCAAGGAAAATATCAGCAATTAAATCAGAGTTAAACAAATGTCAAATGAATGTCATTTTGAATATACTTCCTGTACTATTCAAGCTTAAAACAGTTAGACCAAAATTGTACCTATGAGATTGTAAGTTTTAAAAATGAAAGCATTATGATAGGTTTTCTGAAATATCTAAATAGATGCCAATTTTCATTGCCACAATTGATTAATCTTGACATACTTTTAAAATAACTATTATAGAATAAAATAATATATGTACAGAAAAATGTTTATTTCCTCAGTGTATAGCTTGGTAATTTTCAACTGCTGGCAACACAGTGTGATCACCATCCAGACCAAGAAAGGAGGCCCCTCTTATGCTTCCTTCACATCTGATGTCCTTTTATACTCATATGATTTTTTCTTTATATACTGTCATTTAAGATAAATTAGGGAATACATTTGAACAGAATTGTTTTAATTAAACCCCAATTTCTGGTTACTACTTCTTAGTGGCTAAGATCTCAAGGGTTATATCAACATCTAATAAAATAATAGGAAAAAAATATGCTTTAAAAAGGTGATATTCACTACACATCCATTCATTCCTTTATTTATCCAACCAGTCACTCCTTCATTCAGAGGTTTACTGGAGGTCTACTATGTGCCTGGACCTGTCTGCGGGGCAGTAGGGTTGAGAAAAACAAACGGTATTTGCCTATAAGAATGTGAGCTCACATTCAGGGGGAGAGGGATATACAAAAATAAATGATTATGACATGATAACATAACATACACAGAGGAGGGGTGTCTAACCAACCCTGAGTTGGTAGACAGTCAAGAAAGCTTCTTAGGTTTGAGTGTCACAGACATCCAGATGGGAGTTAGGACAGGGGTAATGCAAGTGAAGAAAACGGCGTGTTGGCAAAAAACACAATAGGAATCACGTGCAGAGTAAAAACACTCAGCAGGGTGGGTTTAATTAACGACAGGGTGTATGATGCTGCAGGGACTCAGGCTAAAGCAGAGTTGAAAAAATGAGCCTGGGAGAGGCCGGCTGGGTGTAGCAGGTCGAGAGAGAAATAGGAATGTGACATCCTCTGCAAGGAAGGAGAGTGGGGGTAAATAAAGCAGGGTTGGAGGGGACGGTTCAGGTTGGCTGAAGTTGCTTGCCGGTGGTTACAGGAGTTATGGAAGTGTAGGAAAAAATACAAGGCCATATTACTTAATGGGATTTGAAAGAATTATGGCAAGAGCTGTGGTCTAATAAAGGGTGCAGAGGAGGAAAGCAAACTAGGTGCCAATTATTAATATTGTGTCTGATGAAACTTACATATGTAGTGTGTTCAGAGAGGTCAGAAGACCCTTGAAGATAGGAGAAGCATAGTGCTAAACTCAAAAGTTGCTTAGAACTGCATTTTATTACAGAGGCTGAAACACTTATCTTCCTTAACTACCCTCTCAACTGATAATATGTTACTTAAGTGCAATCCTTACTTTTCAGAAGCACAATACCTTTTCTCCTTCCTCCAGCAGGCGCAGCAAGGTGGTGTTGTCTGTCTTCTCCTCTTCTTCTATGGAGCTGCCCTCAGCAATCTGGTCTTGCAGCTGTTCCTGGTTCTCCTCATCTCCCCCATCAGGTGCAGAACGAGAGCGTTTCAGAGGAGGCTTGACCAGACCTGCAGTGTAACAACCAAGAGCCACTGTCGGAGGCACTCCAGGAGCAGTTTAGTCTCAGTGTCATCCCTTCTACACATTTCCAATCTGAGACCATTCTGGAAGGCACAGGCTGAGCTGAGCTGTAAAGAGCACAGGCTCTGGAGATTAATAGCTGGGTGACTTTGGAAAAGTATTCACACTTTCTGGACCTCAGTTTTCTCAACTGTGTAACTGGAACATGAGCCAGGCATGGTGGTGCACACTAGTAATCCCAGCTGCTTGGGAGGCTGAGGCTGGAGGATCACTTGAAGCAGAAGTCTGAGGCTACAGTGCATTACAGTAGTGCCTGTGAAGAGCCACTGTGCTCCAGTCTGGACAATATAGTGAGACCCCTTCTCTAGTAAGAAACCCAACAAGCCAAAAAATAAACAAACAAAAACAACTGGGACAAGAATATCTATCTCAGGACAGAAGACTGTTAGAGGACTAAATGAGTAATTCATGTAAAGTACTTAATATAAGTGTAATACATAATAAATTCTCAGTCAGCATCAAATGATGATTAATGATAAACAGAAAACTTAGAATAATTAATAGCAAGAATTATGTTGCTTATAGTTAGGTGTTATTGAGGGGATAGTATGAATAAATAATCACTATCACAAAAAAGAAAAAAATAGCAAGTTATAAACATGATCTTAAAAAAAAAATCCTACCTACATGAAGGGCTCGTGAAGACTAATTCAAGCCTCATTTCACAAGTGGAAGTATGGTTTTACATATGTGAATGAATATGACCAGATCAGAAAGAGTAAGAACAGAATTCCTTATAATACAGGGACAGATCATTAATTTGCTGATAAAGAAAACATTTTACTGCCAACATTTTGATTGACTTTATAAATACTCACAGGAGAAATTAAAATCAGTTGATGATAATAACCAGTGCAATCCCAAAGTATGGAAAGTCCTCAAGATACTCTAAATGGCACATTAAATTCAATTAATATGCCTTAGTTTTGCCATCAAAAGAAATGTTACACCTGCCAGTTGTGTTGCTCTAAACATTTTGAAAAAGCACAGTCAGCCTATTAAGAGTCTAATCCTCTGAACCTTAGTTATGCATTATGTTCACATATGAAAGGTCTAGTGAGAAAGACAGTGATCCTGCTAAGAGCATCCATGTGGGGAAAAGCTTAGAGCTACATTATTTTTAACTGAATGAATCAAAACCTCCGACTCTATGTCCAGTGTAACTCCTTGTATACTGTGATTTTAGCTCAATTAAGGATTAAGAAAATCAGGCCACAGAAGTGAAGTACCAAAGCCCCAAACACAAATCATCTGACAAACTCTGTGGATTACACGTTGGCTTCTATTTGGCAAACAGAGCTTGGGATCCAACTCGTTAAGTCTGGTGATGGAGGAACATGTTACATCAATTATGAAATGCTTAATAAGTTACAGTAATCACAACAGAGAGTAAGTATATTATAATAATGAGAGAAAATGATCACAGTTTAACTTTATTTTACTTACTCTTGCCCAGCCTGGAGTGCAGTGGTAGGATAACTCATTGCAGTCTCTAACTTCTGGGTTCATGCTGATCAAAAATTTAAATGGTGTTTTTTGTTGACACAGTCATAGTCTACTAGTTTTTTAAACAACGGGATCTGAGGCAAATTTTTAATTTCCTAGCTCTTAATTTTAAAAGTAACTTTTAATCTAAAGATCTTAAGTTACAGTCTAGGACTTTAGTTATAGAATATAAAAAGATTTTTGAATTTGTGATGGATCAAAGGCTTATGGGTTGATTTACTTATGTAGTTAAGTTGATTGAATCTCCATTTGCCCTAGTTGTGTCCAAAGCTATAAGGTGAGAAGAAATAATCTCTGCCTCTAAGGAAAACTTATAAATCAAAAAAAGAAAAACATACAGTGGTGTAAAATCACTGAACTTTCTATAAGATACATGAGCAAATATTATTGGGGATACAGGAGTTGGAAAAGGCTTCAGATAAGGATGATTTGGTATTTGACCAGTGTGTTTAAGATTGGGTAGGATTTGTTAAGGTACATACAGGTAGGTCATGGAGAAGCTACAAGAAGGGGAAGAGAGATTTCCATACTGACAAATATGTAAAAGTACAGAAATAAAAAGTCTATGGACATTGTACTTGAGTCTAATTTTTCATCTACTAAGCTCTTAAGGTTTAGATTTGAGATAATCTCTCCTGGCTAACAGGAAGACCATTACAATGTATTACTAATGAAATACTTAGGAGTTAGTTTTATAAATATTATTTAGTTATTAGGAACTTAATGTAAAATAAAAATGCTACTGGGGATTCTAGCAAATACAATAAAAAAACATCATTATGCCAAGGGGCTCATTACATTCATCGGTAGGCAATAAAGAAGAGTTAGTCATTTTTGTTCTGGTAACGAAATCAACCTCTAAGAAGGGTGAGATGGTAAATATGCATGGATATTTCTTTTTTTGAGACCCTCTGTAGAGTGCCGTGATGTCACAGCTCCCAGAAACTTCAAACTTTTGGGCTTAATAGGTTCTCTTGCCTCAGCCTCCCAAGTAGCTGGGACTACAGGCGCCCGCCACAATGGCCTGGCTATTTGTTGTTTTAGTTGTCATTGTTGTTTAACAGGCCTGGGCTGGGTTCAAACCTGCCATCCCTGGTGTATGTGGCTGGAGCCCTAACCACTAAGCTAGGGGCACCAAACCTGCAATGATACTTTTATTTTTTTTAAGAGAGTGAGTTTCATTTTATCGTCCTTGGTAGAGTGCTTGTGGCATCACAGCTCACAGCAACCTCCAACTCCTGGGCTTAGGCAAGTTTCTTGCCTCAGCCTCCTGAGTAGCTGGGACTACAAGCACCTGCCACAATGCCCAGCAATTTTTTGTTGCAGTTTGGCTGGGGCCGGTTCGAACCTGCCACCCTTGGTATATGGGGCTGGTGCTCTACCCACTGAGGCACAGGGATCACCCCCTGCATGGATACTTTTAAGATCGGCCTTAATGTTTACAGTTGCTTATATTTTCATATAAATTTAAAAACCAAAATGCACTAAATGATTTTGAATCAAAACCCAGGAGGGTGGGCTGACCTCTGACTTTGGCGATGGTGTCTTCCCCATGCTCTGGCTCCTGCTGGGCGGCTTCCCCTTCTGAGCTCTCCACAATGGCGTCCTGGACAATGGCTGGATTGCCAGAGGCTAGTCGCATGTAGTATTCTTTACTGTCATAACTTACGGCTCTTCTGTATCGAGCAGGTTTCTAAGACATAAAAGAAAATTGCTCAGATAATTATTTCCAAGAATTAAAACATAAACTTCTTGAGGAAAGGTATGTTGACAATTTCTTTGTGTTACCTTTCGTAGAGGGATTTACTAGACTGTACACATAAATAGTTAAATCCACAGACTTTTAGGTTAAGTTTATTTTTAAATTCTACTGGTATTTAAAAGATATATGTAAAGCAATATTTGCAGTTTTGTTCTTCGCGAAATAATAATGATCTCTAGCCAAACAATGCTTTCATGCTAGTTTAATACACCTTACTGATGTATCAGGAAAGCTTCCTGCCCTGGAGAGAGAATGCTCGCTATTGAGGAGCACGGACTTGCAGGAGACTATCTGGTCTGGCCAGAGCCTGGAACTTCGCTCCCTCCCCAAGTGAAGTAAGCGTTCAGGCCTAACGGGTAGATATTCAGTTAGAACAATCTGGGCAAGTGCTTACTTCAGATCCCTGGAGGTAGACACTCAGACCTGCCCTATTCTTTCCCATATTCCCACATTTCATTGGGAATACTCTCGATGGCCAAATCCTTCTGAGATTCCTGACCCACCAGGGGATCCAGTAGTTTCAAGGCAGATGACACCCTGGTTAGCTGCCACTACTGGCTGGTATCTACAATCTGCCAATTCTCATTGTTTATTGTGTATAAGATCACGATAAAGCAGGTTACTCACTAAACGAGTGTAGAAAGAAGAGTTACATTTCTTTTTCAGAATAATTAGCTTTTATTCTCAAAACAGGTTCCCTAGCTGATTTAAATTTTTTCCCCTAAAATCATAGACAATGAGAAATAAAGTTTTAAAATATCCTGCAGTCAGAATTAGATCCCAGACTTTGGACTAACAATTAAGAAAAAATGGAATTTGGAACATACTTTAAAAAACTTCCCTTTCTAAATATTATTTCTCCTTTCCTATGAATATCTAATTAAAAATAGTCTATTACCTGCCTACCCTTTAAACTCAAATGGTCAATATGCATCATCCGTAACAATGCTCATTTCACGCAACGTTTTTTTGTTAAGTGGTTTTCCAGATAAAAAGGAAAGCAAGTGCCTATCTGGGTGGAATATTTTCCCTGAAATACTGAACTTATCTTTAGATTAAAAGTTTACTGAGTGGTGGCACCTGTAGCTCAGTGGGTAGGGCATCAGTCACATATACTGAGGCTGGTGGGTTTGAACCTAACCCAGGCCTCCTAAACAACAGTGACAACTACAACAAAAAAACCCCAGCCAGGCTGTTGTGGTGGGCAGCTGTAGTCCCAGCTATTTGGGAGGCTGAGGCAAGAGAATCACTTAAGCCCAAGAGTTTGAGGTTGTTGTGAGCTGTGATGCCACAGCACTCTACTGAGGGCGACAAAATGAGACTCTGTCTCAAAAAAAAAAAAAAAAAGTTCACTACGTAAAACCATAAAATCCTTCTTTTAATTGCAGATACAGAGTCAGGGAACAGAGTTGCCAGTGAACTGATGAATGATACAGAGAAAATGGAGACTGGGAATATTACATGACATAGGAAGTATTACAATGATACAAAATAATAATCTGGGCAAATGGCTGTCAATACCGGTGGATAACACTCAAGAACGCTGTAGTATTTTAGAAAATGAAAGGAAGGAGGTAAACTTTGTACCACAGTTCTGTACGAGATATGAGAGCTATTTTCAACTCAAAAGTGCTAATATTTCACAAGGTGAAAGCATCGTTAGTGATGGGCAAGATAATGAATTAACAGACAGCATTTACTTGATCACCAACTTCAACGGAGATTTCAACTTGATCCACAAGGATTTTCCCTTAAATATTTTGAGGAACCTTCCTGTGTTGTGAAGAGCTACATTTTTACTGGATTATCTACTTATTCTTTCTGGAAGATGAAAAGAATGTTTAAATTTTTTGCTAATGAATATAAATTAATATGAAATTGTACATTAAAAAGCAATCACACTCTTAGTGTCCATTATTTCCTTCTGATTGAAAAAATATTTTTAAAAGAGAAGACTCTATCGCATTCTCAAAATATACACTCTAATATCCAGAAGAATTAAATGAGAAATTGAAAATCAAACGGTTGGTGATGCCAGGCTGCCCATCACTAACACGCTTCCTAATCTGTTAGTGTATGTGAGAAGCAGGACACGCTGTATCGTGAGAGCAGTGAGAACCCGGCCCATTAGTGAGCAGCACACAGCCCCCCAGAGCTCGTCAGACAGAGCAGAGGAAGAGCACAACACCACCTCTCAGCGGGAATGAAACCAACTTTCACCTTGAAGGAACTTAAAGAACAAACTGAAAGCCAGTTTTTAAAGTTAGTCTAGTCTACCATGCACAAATAACCCCCTCACCCCCCGAACAAAAAATTGCAAGTAGTTTGCATTCTTTTATGGTAGTTTGTGTTTTACCTTTTGAGGAATGATATCATCAGGTGTCTCGGGCTGTTTACTTGGGATCTCAGACTGAAAATAGGGTATTAAGTATAGACATATCAGAAAAAAAAAAAAACATGAAGAGGAGCACAAAATAAAATCTTCTTGAGGATTGTATGAAATATGGAAGATGTAGTCACTGAGAGGAAATTAACATGATAGCCTAAGCAGCTTAAATCATCACTTTGCACCTTGTAGTTATTTTCTCAATGGTCAAAAGTAGTTTTAAGTGAAGCTTAAATATACCCAAAGTCTCAGTGCTACCAAACAGGACACGCTTAAAAATCACACAGACGAAACTTCAGCACTGGCTGCCATCTTTTTGGATGATTTACATCCAAGAATCCTTGGTGATTCTTTAATATGATTTTTAAAGGAGAAAACCAGAAATCAGGACCATGGATCCTGATACTAGCTAATACATTTCATCTTCTTTTCCCTGTGCTTGTTCCCAAGTCTGTAATGTAACTGGAGCAACTAACTGGTTAAACGATCACCTGCAACAGTGGTCCCCAATCTTTTTAGCACCAGGGACTGGTTTTATAAAAGACTATTTTTCCACCATTAAGGGTGGAGTGAGGAATGGTTTTGGGATGATTCAAACACATTTTATCTTCACTTCAGACCACAAGGAACGAGATTCTCACGAGTGCACAACCCAGATCCCGCACACGTGCACGCTGTAGTGGGGTTGGTGCGCTGTGAGAAGCTGATGCCACTGCTTATTCAACAGGAGGTGGACCTGAGGTGGTGATGACAGCAATAGGGACGGCTGTGAACACAGATGAAGTAGCTCCCCCTTAGCTCACCTCCTGCTGTGTGACCCAGGTCCTAACGGGCCATAGACAGGTGCCAGTCCTCAATCGGGGGATTGGGCACTGCAGAACTACAATTCCACAGAAACCACTCAGGGCTTATTACTAAAAGAAACACCTTCCCCATCACAGAAAGGCTGGAAGCAGACAGTCCACTGGATCATCTACCCCCAGACAAGAAGGTTTTTTTTTTTTTTT